CGACGAGTGGTTCCAGTCCGTCGAGCTCGCGGCGCGCGACGTCCTCGGCAAGCGCGTCTGGGTGGCCTGGGAGTGGGGCGGGTCCGACGACCCCCTGTTCGGCGACGGCAAGGACCGCTGGTCGCCGTGCCGGAGCGCGAGCTTCCCGCTCTACGCCGCGCACCTGCCGCTGCTGCTCCTGCGCGCGGTTTTGGGCGGCGGCGCGCGGGCGCTCGCCGCGCCCGGCGCCGTCGAGGTCGCGCCGCGCGCGGCGGCCCTGGCCGCGTCGCTGGCCCAGGACGCCGTGTTGGGCCGGCTCTGGCGCCGCTGCGGCCTCTCGGCCGACGAGGCGCGCGTCGCCGTCGCGCTGCGCCGCTGCTCCTGGGCCGCCGCGCTCCTCGAGGCGCGGCCGTTCTCCAACGGGTACGAGGCTCTCTTCGTGTCGCTCGCGGGCCTCCTCGCGGTGGACGGCCGCGCGCTGGCTTTAGGCGCCCTCACGGCCGTCGGCGTGTGGTGCCGCTTCTCCTTCGCGGCCTTCGCGGCGCCGCTGGGCCTCCACGCCGTCGCGGTGGCGCCGTCGCGCGCCGCGGCCGTCGCCGAGGGCGCCGCGGGCTTTGTAGCCGTCGCTTTCCTCCTGATCGCCCTCGACACGGCCTACTTCGCCGACGTCGCCGGCGGCGCGGTCGTCGTCGCGCCCTACCGCAACTTCCGCTTCAACGCCGACGCGGCGAACCTCGCGCGCTTCGGGCTCCACGCGCGCTGGACGCACGCGTCGTCAATCTCCCGCTGCTCTACCTGCCGATCCTGCGCTACGTCCGCCCGCCGGCGACGCGCAACGGCCGGGCCGTCGCCGCGTCGGCGGCGCTGGGGCTCGCGGCGCTGTCGGTCGCGCCGCACCAGGAGCCGCGGTTCCTCTTACCGACGGGCGCCGCGGTCTACGCGCTCGCCGCGCCGGCGGTCGCCGCGCTGCCCCGGCGGCGGCGGCTCCTTCTCGCCTGGTGCGCGTTCCACGCGGCGCAGGTCGCCTTCTGGGGCCGCGCGCACCAGGCCGGCGTCGCGCCGCTGGTGAAGCGTTTAGCCGCGGCCAACCCGCCGGGCGACGCGGCGACGTGCGCGCACGTCCTCTTCCTCGGCACGTACCTGCCGCCGCGGTCGCTCTCGGGCCCCGGCGACGGGCTCCTGCTCCACGACTTCGAGAACGACGTCGCCGGCTTCGGAGTTCGCCTCGACGCGCTCCTCGGCGCGCTCGGCGGCCTGCCGTGCCGCGCGCACGCGTTCAAGGTCGCCGTCGCCGAGGCCGCGGACAAGGGCCCGCTCGTCGACGCCCTCGCCGCGCGGCGCGCGGCGCTCGCCCGCGAGGCGGCCTTCGCGCCCCACTTCTCCGGCGAGATCCCCCCGCGGCGCCTCGAGGACCTCGCGCTCGGCCTCTACGACGTCCGCGGCCCCGACGGGGCGCCCTGGCTCTATACGCCGGACTAGTTCGCCGCGGCCTCGGGGGGTCCCGGCGGCGCCTTCGGGAGGAAGAGCTTGGGGAGCTTCTCCAGGATGCCGAAGAGCATGCCGCCGACGACGAGGCCTGCGGACAGGAGCCGCTCCACGGATCCCGGCGGCGCCCTACCTGCGGCGTAGGCGCCGAGGCAGATGAGCGCGTCGATGCAGAAGATGATGCGCACGAGGCCCGGCGGCACGGGCGTGAGCACGCCGTCGCCATCGTGGCGCGCGGCGCCCGCGCCGACGAACCAGAAGCCGAGATTCGCCGCGAGCGTGCACGCGGCGCCCTGGAAGACGTCGCCGACAGCCATGGACGCCAGGCCCAGCACCTGGCCGACGATCTTGATGCGCACGGCCTTGCGCCACGTGAGCGCGGCCTGGCGCTTCGCCTTCGCCGCGCCGGCGGACGCGGGCGCCGTCGCCTTCATCGCGCGCTTCGCGGACGCGAGCTGCGCGTTCGCCGTCGGGCCCAGGTCGACGGCGGCGAGCAGCGCCGTCGTAACGCATACCGCGGCCTCGGGTGCCGTCGCCACGGCCGTCGCCTTGTAGGCCAGGGCCGCGGCGCTGAGGGCGTAGGTCGCCGGCAGCACCTTGGCGCTCATGGACACGGCCGCCGCGGCGCGGCGGCGCGGCTGCATGGACACGGCCGCCGCGGCGCGGCGGCGCGGCTGCGCGCGCTGCAGCCGCGGCGCGACGAGTGCCTGGCACGCAGTTGCCAGCAAGAGCGCACGCATGATCGAGCGTGCAAGAGCCGCACGCATTGCTCTGTCGATCCTTGTGGCATCTTGAGGACTCTTTGGGCCTCACCGTCTGGATATTTGAGAGCTGCCCAGCGAGCTGATCGAGAGCTGCCCACGCGTTACCGCGCTGCCAGAGGCCTTTGCGAGGCGCTCTGCTTTCTGGTGATGGGTCGCTGACTGGCCCGGCGCGTGCCTGGGTGGGTCGCTCCGCGCGCCGCGCGTGACGCATGGGGCCGTGCGCGTCGCGCGGCCAGTCCGCCGCCGTCGGCGCGGACCCGTCGTCGGCGACGGCGACCGTCGACAACGAGCGCGCCGTGTCGAGCAAGGTCGACGTGAGCACGAGCATCCTCGACGAGCGCGGCGCCGGCGCGGCGGTTTTCTTCTTCTTTCCGCGCGTCTCGCGAAACCGTTTTAACAGGCTCTACGACGCCAAGTACGGCATGACGTACGCGTTCGTGTCGCAGCGGGGCTACTACCCGCACCAGCTGCGCAAGCCCAACCAGGACGCGTGGCGCGCCGGCGCGTTTCTCTTCCGACGTTCGCCGTGGCACAACCGACTCCAGGTACGTCTGCGCGTCGCTGAACCGCGACGCGAACGCGTACGTGCTCGGCGTCTTCGACGGCCACGGCGCCGAGGGCGACCTCTGCGCCCAGTTCGCCGCGCGCAAGCTCGTCTACTGCCTCGAGCGCGAGATCACGACGCTGCTGAAGAAGCAGAAGCTCTCGGGGCGGGTCGTGGAGCTCTACGACCCGACCGCGGACGCGCCGCGGCTCGAGGAGCTGTTCGAGCGCGCGTTCAAGAACTCGAACCTGCTCATGCACGCGGCGTCCTTCGACACGCAGCTCAGCGGCACGACGGCGGTCTGCTGCCTCGTCGTCGGGACGACGCTCATCGTGGGCAACGTCGGCGACTCGCGCGCGATCTTGGGCTACGTGCCCGAGGAGCAGGGCCAGATCGCGGTCCAGGCGTTGAGCGTGGACCAGACGCCCTACCGGCGCGACGAGCGCGAGCGCGTCAAGCAGTACGGCGCGCGCATCATGACCGTGGACCAGGTCGAGGGCCGCGAGAAGCTCCACGAGAACTGGGGCACGCGCCTGGGAGACGAGATCGACGAGACGGGCGACCCGCCGCGCGTGTGGAACGACACGCTCGAGCGGCCGGGCTGCGCCTTCACGCGGTCCCTGGGGGACATGATCGCCGAGCGGCTCGGCGTCGTCGCGGACCCGGAGATCCACACGCACACGCTCCGCCGCGAGGACAAGTTCGTCGTCGTCGCGTCCGACGGCGTCTTCGAGTTCATCACGTCCCAGGCGGTGGCCGACATGGTCGACCGCGTGCGCACGGCGGGCGGCGGGCCCCTCGAGGCCTGCCGGCGCGTCGTCGCGGAGTCGTACCGCCTCTGGCTCCAGTACGAGGTCCGGTCCGACGACATCACGATGGTCTGCGCGTTCTTCGACGACTTCGGCGGCGTCGACGTCGCGGCCGACGGCTTCGCGCCCAACGCCAGGGCCGGCGAGCCGTCGGCGCAGCTGCGGGCCACCAAAGCGAAGCTGCGCGCGCTCGACGGCGAAGGCGAGGCGACGCGCGCGCGCGCGGCGTCGCGCGAGGACTTCCGCGAGGTCCGGCCCGTGCGGCGCGTGCTGGCCAAGGAGAAGCGCGTGCACCTCAACATGAGCGAGTCCCAGAAGCTCGACCCCGGCGAGGTCGCCGAGTTCCGGCGCAAGCTCGACACGTACCGGAAGCCCAAAACGAAAGACGAGGAGAAAAGATCGAGACGATGACGCGGTCCAACTACCTCTTCCTGAACCTCAGCGCGGACAAGCTCGCCATGATGATCTCCGTGATGCAGAAGGAGCTCTTCAGCGCGGGCGACGTCATCATGCGCGCGGGCGACGAGGGCGACAAGTTCTACCTCGTCGACACGGGCGAGTACGACGTCATCATCCGCGACTCGTCGCAGGAGCCCCAGGTCGTCCACACGTACCGCCACGCGGGCGAGTCCTTCGGCGAGCTGAGCCTCATGTACGGCAAGCCGCGCGCGGCGACGATCAAGTGCGTGCGCGAGGGCGTCGTCTGGACGCTCGAGCGTTTGGCGTTCCGCGCCATCCTCATGAAGGACAAGTCGAACTCGAGCCTCATCGCGACGCTGTCCAAGGTCGAGGGCTTCAAGCAGCTGAGCGTGCCCCAGCTGCAGCGCGTGACGGACGCCTGCGCGACGGAGACCTTCGAGCCGGGGGCCTACATCATCAAGCAGGGCGACGTCGGCGACACGTTCTACGTCATCTCCGAGGGCGAGTGCGTCTGCACGAAGACGCCCAAGGAGGGCGGCGACGAGCTCGAGCTCGTGCGGTTGGGCGCGAACGCCTGGTTCGGCGAGCTCGCTCTACTGAAGGACGAGCCGCGCGCGGCGAACGTGAAAGCGTCGGAGAAGGGGCCCGTCAAGGTCGTCGTCGTCTCGCGGCGCATCTTCAAGGAGATCTCCGCCGAGGTCGTGACCCACCTCGACGAGGAGCACGAGCGGCGCGTCGACGCGTCCGAGGCCCTCAAGTCGGAAGACGGCAAGCACTATAGCCAGTTCCTCGCGCAGAAGGGCGGCGCCATCGAGCAGCGCGTCCACGCGCTCGACGCGAAGCGCCTCGAGATGGCCTACGCGGGCTGCCCGCTGAAGACGTCGCTCGCGGGCTTCTTCGGCGCCTACGACCTCGCGCTCCAGCCGACGGGGTCGCGCAAGGTCTCCGCGAAGTGGCACGCGATCGCCGACTGCTCCAAGGACGGCGGCCACAAGAGAATCTTAAACGAGCGCGCGGTGCTCACGTCGCTCCGGGACGCGAGCTCGCTGCTGCCCCACGTGTTGGCGACGCAGGTCGACGGCACGTTCGCGACGCTCGTCATCGCGGAGAACGTCGTCGGCGACGTGCACTCGCTTTTGGAGTCGGACTTCGACGCGGGCGCTTTGGCCTTTTACGGCGCGTGCCTCGCGGAGGCGCTCGAGTACGTCCACGGGGCGAAGATTTTGGCGAGGAACGTCACGTCCGAGGCCGTGCTTTTACGGGCCGACGGCTACCCGATCCTGGGAGACCTGTCGCTCGCGAAGCGGCTGTCGCCCAAGGACGACCGCGCGTACACGATGTGCGGCGACGTGCTCTACTTCGCGCCGGAGGTCATCGCCGGCGCGGGCTACGCGTACCCGGCCGACTTCTGGGCGCTGGGCGTGCTCTTGTACGAGATGTACAGCGGCGTCTTCCCCTTCGGGACGCCGGGCCAATCGGAGTCCGTCGTCTACGCGGCCGTCTCGAAGATGGAGTACGCGGTGCCCGACGGCGCGCCGCCGCCCGTCGCCGAGGTCTTCGCGAAGCTCTTCAAGCGCGAGTACCCGCGCTCCAAGGCGCCGGATTTGAGGAAACTCGCGCTCTTCGCGGATTTGGACGCGGCCGCGGTCCGGGAGCGGCGACACCCCGCGCCCCACGCGGCCGTCTGCGAGGAGCGGCGCGCCGCGCTCGCCGAGTCCGGCGGCGCGGGCGACGACGAGGCCGACTTCAAGCGCCGCGCCGCGCCCGCCGAGGCCGCGGACGTCTGGCACTTCCGCTCCTACTAGGCCACCGATCTGGCCACCTTCGCTTCGATGCCGCGCTAACTTAGGTCCGCGCCGCAGGCGAGGAGCGTCCCGTCGCCCGCGATCTCCCGCCGGAAGCCGAGGCCGTCCGACGGGAGGGCCACGTCGAGGAACGAGCCGCGGCCGCCGGCGAGGGGGCCGAAGGCGAGGCGCACGGCGCCGCCCGCGAGCGTCAGCACGCTCGACCCGTCGCTTCGAAACTCCGCGGCGCCGTCGCCGGCGGCCGCGAAGACCGCGCCGCAGCGCGTCGCGACGTCCGCCGCGTCCAACCCCGCGGGGCCCAGGGGCGGCGACGCGTAGGGCGCCGCGCCGCAGTCGTCGCGCGACTCTCCCACGACGACGCATCGCAATAGCGCGCCGACCGTCGCGTCGAACTTGAGGTCCACGCGCACGCGGTCGTAGGCGCCGAGGACGCCCGGCCCCGCGAAGATCGTCCGGGCCTCGACGAAGGGCATCGCGTCGGCCAGCGCCGCGCCGCACTCGCCGCTCGGGAAGCGGCAGCTGTCCACGGCGGCGACGCGGCCCGTCGCCTTGACCGACGCGCGCTCGAGGTCGATGCCGCCGGTGAGCACGGACGCGGCCGCGGTCCCTGGGACGACCTTGAACGTCGTCCGCTGCCACAGGTTCTTCGCGGCCGCGTCCTTCGAGAACGTCGCCCAGCCGAGCGCGTCCGCGGGCGCGTACGCGGGGTCGAGCGGCATCGCGTGGCCCGTGCGCGGCGAGAACTGCACCTCGACGCCGGACCAGCAGCCCTCGTTGCCGCGCAGGACCGCGGCGCGCGCCAGGTCGTCGTTCAGCGCCGCGTCCTCCATGGTTTTTGCGACGCTGCGGAGCGTCGAGGTCTCGCCGCGCTGCCGCATCGTGCGCGGCGTCTTGCCGCGCTGCCGCAGCGCCACGCCCCTTGGCGCCGGGCCGCGCAGCGCGAACGCCGACGCGACGACGAGCAAGAGATGGGCAAGAGCCATGCCCAAGCTTGTGGCAGAAGAATCAAGTTGTCGTCAACATGCGGCACTCCCTCGGTGATTTAGGTCTGGAGCCAGGAGCGCGAGGCGATGAGGGGGTTCGCGTGGCTCTTGTCCCGCATCTGGGGCTTCGTGGACCGCGTCGCCACGTACCAGCCGCCGTGGTCGACGACGGTCGCCGGCAGCGTGAGTTTGACGAGGTTCGAGTCGACCTCGCGCATGAGGTTCTTCAGCCGGGCGTGCGTCGCGATGGAGTTGGCGCCGAAGGCCTTGGCCGGGCCGATCTGCGCGTTGAGCGGCGGGCACGTCGGCGCCGCGGGCGGCTCGCGGCGCTTCCGGCGGCCGAGCGTCTTGTCGCGCGCGCGCAGCTCGTCCTCGCGGCCGGGGATGCGGCGGCCCGTGTACTTGCCGCCGGTCTGCGACATGAAGTCGCTGTTGCTCCGCGGCATCCGCGGCTTGATCTCGGGCAGGCGGTCGCCGTCCGTCGCCGCGAGGTCCGCGGCGCTCGCGCTCGACTGGCCGCCGCCGCCGCGCCGCTTGCTGCGCACCTTGCGCGTCCGGTCGATGGTCCGGTCGATGAGGTAGAGTTGATCCTCGAGGAGCCGCTTCTGCTCGAGGTGCTCCTTCGACGGGCTCATGGCGCCCACCGCCACCCTCGGGTTGCGCCCCACGAGGAAGGGCGGCTTCTCCGGCGACGCCACGGCGCCGGCTGCGGTGCGGGACGCGGGCGGGTCTGGGGTCCGCGGCCGGCGGACGATTCGATTGCGGCAGCGGCGGAACGGCGCGGTGGAACGACGTCAAAGCTGTAACATTCGCGCTGCGTGAGAGCTCTCTCTCAACATGATATAATCTGATATTGCAAACACGAACTTAGAGCTGCACCCCGAATCAAGATGGCGTCGTAGCCGGGCTGGGCCCCAACAGAATAGGAGTGAGCTTTCGGCAGCCCCGTTCGACTAGGAGCGATTTTTGGCAGCCCCGGCAGAACGGGACCGAGCCTTTGGCCGCAGCCCCACAAGAAGAGAGCACCATGGGCGCGGCGCTCGGGCGGCCGCAGCCCGCGGCGGAGCCGCCGAAGCGGCGGCCGCGCCTCGACATCCACACGCTGCCGCAGGAGATCCTCCTCCACGCCTTCTCCTTCCTCACCACGGTGCAGCGGTCGCCGGGCCGCCCGGCGAGCCCCACGAGCGTCGCCGTGAAGACGCTCCTCCGGAGCCGCTTCGTGCTCGGCCTCGTGAGCGCGGACTTCGAGGCGGCCATGCGGACGCACAAGTCCGCGCATCCGCGCGCGTGGTTCCCCGCGCTCTACGGCGCCGTGCCCGGCGACGCCACCGTCGGCGAGCTGCGAAGCCGAGCGGCGGCCGCGCGGCACCGGAACCTCGTCGACGTCCTCGCGCGGCGCCACGCGACGGAGCGGCGGCGGCCCGCGGACGCCGCGCGCGCCGCGTCGCGCCCCGTGGACCTCGGCACGCTCAAGGAGCTGAGCGTCATCGCCTTCGACCGCATGCTCGACCACCTCGCCGGCCGCAGCTGGCAGCTTCTGGTCCACGACGTGCGCCTCGTGCACCGCGGCGGCGACCACGCGCCGGAGACGGCGGCCGTCCGCCAGGCGTCGGACGCCGCGAGGGCGCTCTTCGCGGGGCAGGCCGCGCCCTGGCGCGCGTCCTGGCCGCCCCTCGCGCGCGGCGAGGCGCCCGACGCGTGCCCGGGCGCCGCGCTGCTCCGGCGCTGGCGCGGCGCGCCGTCGCTGCCGCTCTGGGACAACGGCGGGCCGCGCTTCGAGAAAGTCGTCGGCGAATCCGGGCCCGCGCGCGGCCGCCTCGAGGTCCGCTTCCCGGGCCTCGCGCGGTCCGCGGCGGCGACGTCGTCGCCGGACGCGGACGTCGGCGCCTACCGCTTCGTGGACGCGGCGCCGAGCCTCTTCGCCGCCAAGGGCGCGCCGGGCGACGCCGACGAGGCGCTCCCCGCGGCGGACGCCAAGCTGAAGCTCGCGATGACGCGCGGCCCGGGGCCCCGCGACACGCACGCGGTCCTCTTCGTGCCCGCGGGCGGCGCCGTCGACGTCATGTGCCTCGGCGCGCTCCTCGGCCTCGACTGAGAAGGCTGGCCTTGCCGCCCCGCGCGGACCACCGCGACGCGTTTAACACAGGTCAGTTGAATGTGCAAGTGGGGGGAAACGTCGGCGTTTTCGGCAAAGGGGTCAGCATGGAGACGGAGACGATCGAGGGGCTGGTCCGCGACTTGCGCGAGGGCGACGACGCAGCGAAGACGGAGGCGGCGCGGGCGCTGTTCGTGCGGGCGCTGTGCGGCGAACCCGCCAACCGGGTCCTGATCGCCGAGGACGGCGGCATCCCGCCGCTCGTCGAGCTCCTAAGCGACGGGAGCGCGGAGGCCAAATTTTGGGCCGCACGGGCGCTGTGCATCCTCGCGTGCAACGACGCCAACCGGGTCCTGATCGCCGAGGCCGGCGGCATCCCGGCGCTCATCGAGCTCCTGCGAGACGGGAGCGCGGACGCTAAACAGAAGGCCGCGTGCGCGCTGCACATCGTCGCGTACAGCAACGACGCCAACCGGGTCCTGATCGCCGAGGCCGGCGGCATCCCGCCGCTTGTCGAGCTCCTGCGCGACGGGAGCGTGGAGGCCAAATTGGAGGCCGCGCAGGCGCTGTACAACATCGCGGAGGACAACGACGCCAACGCGGTCGCAATAGCGGTGACCGTCGGCCTCGAGGCGCTCGTCGAGCTCGCGCGGCGTGGCCGCGTGACCGTCCACCGCCTGTCGGTTGCGCACAATGCGGGCGTCCCCGCCAAGCGCAAGGCCGCGCTGGTCGTCGCCGCGCTGCTCGGCGACTGCGTCCCCGACTCGGTCCCACGCGAGATCAAGACCGTCATCGGGTCCTACCTCTAGGGCGCATCGCCGAAATAAGATTAAACGTCCATGGTTAGCTCCGCGAGCTGCGCCCGGAGGTCGTCCCGGCGCTTCGCGCGCGCGACGCTGCGCTTGTCGCGGAGGAAGTGGTGGGCGACGGTGCAGTTGCGCTCGGACTCGAAGACGAGGGACAGCGCCCATTTCTGCACGTCGCCGTCGTCGCCCGCGACGCGGCGCGCGAGCCCGACGAAGGCGCCGGCCGCCGCGCGGACGACGACGTCCAGCTTCGTGCCGTTCGCGCGATCCACGGCTGCGGCGACGGCCCGGACGTCCGCGGCGCACAGGACCCGGCCGCTCGACAGGGCCTTGGGGTCCGGCACGGCGAGGAGGAACCGGTCGTCGTCGAGGACGAGGTAGACGTCGAGCCAGCGCCCGCCGGGCGGTTTCGCCTTTTGTTTCGTCGGCGTCGCGCTCGGCGGCACTTCCTCGCGGCGGAGCGTCGCGGCGGCGAGGCCTACCAAGCACCTCAGTGACGGTTTTCCCCGGTCAAAGTCTCTCAGAATTCGTCACGGTCGCAGGACGCTGTGTCAATTGCAGTGCCGCCCGAACAAATCGAGCGTCCCCGTCGAGCCCGTCCCCGCCTCGTCCGCCGGCGGCGACGCGGGCGCGACGGGGGTCTGGCCCCGGTCGTAGAGGGCGCGCAGCGCGCGGACGGCCGCCGCCGCGCGGCGCGGCGCGTCGAGCGACTCGCGCGGCGCCGCGTCGTCGCCGCCCGCGGCGAGGAGCGCCGCGCCCAGGCCCCGGAGCCGCGCCGGCGCGCCGGCGGGCGGCGCGCTCCGGAGCTCGGCCTCGACGGCGTCGTCGACGGCGTCGTCGTCCGCGAGCGCCGCGGCCAGCGCCGCCGCGGCGTGGCGCCGCGCGTGCGTCACGTCCGCGCCCGGCGCCAGGAGCGCGAGCGTCTCCGCGGCGACGCGCGTCGCGGCGACGCGGCGGTCGCCCGCGGTGGCCAGGAACGCCAGGAGCGCCGCGGCGAGCGGCGGCGCCGCGTCGGCGACCGCGGCGCCGTCCGGCGGCGGCGGCGGCGGCGACGCGTCGTCGAAGAGCGCCGCGGGCGGCGGCGGCGCCGTCGTGAGGTCCGCGAGGAGCGCCGCGGCCGTCCCCGCGGCGTCCGGCAGCCCCCGGCGCGTGAGGGCAGCCGCGGGCGCGGCCGCGAGCGCCGCCTGGAGGCAGAGGCACGCGTTCGCGGCGACGCAATCGCCGCCGGCGAGCGCCGCGGCCGCCTTGGCCAAGAATATGTCGAGCGCCGCGACGACGGCGGTGGGGCGCGTCACGGACCGGAAGAAGAGGGCGAAGACGTAGAAGGCCGCCGCGCGCTCGCGCTCGCCCGCGACGCCGTCGACGCCCGTCGCGGCCAGAAATTCCAAAAAGTGGTCGACGACGCACGTCTCGAGCGCCGCGGCCAGCGGCCCGTGCGCGTCGCCCAGGTCGAAGACGTCCTGCGCGTAGAAGAAGAGATCCTCCAAGGCCGTCGCCGCGCCGTCGAGGTGGCCCGCGGGGCCCTTGGTCGCTTTGACCGCCAAAGCGCCGAATTCCTCGACCAAGACGCCGACGACGGCGTCGCAGACCGCGGTCACGGACTCCTCGCGGTTCACGCACCGCCGCACGTGGTCGTCGTCGACGCGCCAGACGTTGAGCAGCGTCGTCAGCGCCGCCGTGCGCGCCATCCCGTCCGCGCCAGCCCGCGCGCACGCGACGGCCGCCTGATGCAGGGGAAACCGCGTCGCGGAGTCGTCGACGAAGAACTGGGCCGTCATCGCGTCGAGCCGCAGGCTCAGCGTCTTCAGCAAGCTCACGAAGTGGGCGAACAGCTCCTCGTCGCAGGACCGGCGCCGGAAGGGCCCGTGCCCCAGGAGCGCGTTCACGTAGTTCGACGACAGCAGCAGGTAGAGCGACGTCTTGTGGCGCACGTTCTGCACGAGGATCGCCACGGTCTGCAACACCTGCACCTGGATGCGCAGCCGCGGCGCCGCCGCCGTCGCCAGCGCGACGAGCAGGCCCATCATCTGCTTCTCGACGAAGTACTCGAAGAACGCCTCCGAGTGGCGCTCGCCGTAGATGATCATCTCGGCGAGCGCGCGGATGAGCTCGACGGCGCGGCCCTCCCAGTCGTCGCGCGGCGGGGCGCGCGGCGCCGGCGCGCAGACGCGGTTCCGGTAGATGGCCTCGAGGCGGCTGCAGGTGCTCGCGAGGTCCTTGAGGCTGTAGTCCACCATGGTCGGCGCGCGGGAGCTGGCGGCGCGCCGCGGCGATGGGCCGAGGACTCGGTGCCTTATAGGTTCGTTGCGCTACGTTTTGGGTGCGGTGACGGGCTTTGGCAGGCGCCGCGAAGCGCTCCCCATCGGTGCTGGCTTGTGGCAAATTTACGCAATGTTGACTTCAATGTTTACTCCGCAACGCTCTCCAGCGCGAACACCGCGTCGAGCTTGCGGAGCTTCGTGCCCGGCAGGAGGCCGTCGTCGCGGTCGAAGAGGGGCCGCTTGCGCTTGGCGACGGCCGCGGCCGTCGCCGACGTCGGCGGCGGCGGCGCGAACGCGGGCGCGGCGGCGGCGAGCGCGTCGTAGTCCGCGGCGAGGCCGCGGGGCGCGTCGTCGGCCGGGTCGCTCGAGGCGCAGGCCGCGGCGAGGGCGGCGACGGTCGGCGCGTAGTGCGTCGCGAAGGCCGCGAGCTCGTGGAGCCGCGGCGCGGCCTCGCCGTCGTCGCCCGGTTCCGCGGCGCCGTCGTCGTCGAGCAGCGCGCGGCACGTCTCGCAGGCGTTGGCGGCGTCGCGGATGGCGCCTAACGCCCGCGCGGCGGCCCGCGGCGGCGCCGCGAGCGCCGCCGTCGCGAGCTTCTTCACAAAGGCCGCGCGGTGCTTCTCGGGGACGCGCTTCGACGCGAGGCACGGCCCGAGCACGTCCGCGAGCAGGTCCGGGTGCGCGGCGAGGATCGCCGGCGTCACGAGGGCGAAGAGGCGCTCGAAGAAGCGCGGCGCCTCGAGGCGGTGGTGCGCGACGAGCCGGAAGACGCCCTTGAGCGCGAAGATCGCGAGTTCGTCGTCCTTGAACGCGGCGAGGTAAAAGTCCCCGAGGCGCAGCGGGTCGCCGAGGGTCGCGAGGACGTCGTCGGCGACGTGGGCCAGCACTTTCGCCGCCAGCGCGCCGGACCCGAGGGCGCCGGGCCGCGCGAGCGCCGCGACCCACGCGTCCGCGCGCGCCTTCTTGAGCTGCTTGCCGTCGCCGGCCGTCGGCAGCGCGACGAGCGCGTCGAAGGCGCCCGCGCGCGTCGCGGCGCCGTCGCCCGCCGCGGCCTGGGCGCCGCGGTAGGCGCCTAAAAGCAGCGGCTCGCAGGACGCGGCCTCGGCGGCGAGCGCCGCGAGTGCGCCCGCCGACGGCCGCGCGGCCGCGCGCGCGACGCCCGCGACGACGGCCGCCGCCGCCGCCGCGACGTGGCGCGGCGGCGCGCCCTTGGCGGCGAGCCAGGCCAGCGACCGCACGGCGACGACCTCGACGACGTCGTCGCCGTCGCGCGCGGCCCAGGCGCCGGCCACCTCGCCGTAGGCGGCCAAGGACTCGGCGACGTCCTCCTCGTCGGCGAGCGCGGTTTTCAGCGCGCGGCGCACGCCGTGCAACGCCGCGACCTTCTTTTCGCGGGACGATTTGTCGGCTTTGCGCAGGCGCGCGATTGCTTCGTCCATCCTTGCGTGATCGCCGACGGCAACGCCGGCTTCACCACATTCCGGAACATCTTCACCTCTGCCGCGGGTGGCCACCACCACAGTGTCCTCGAGCAGTCAGCCGATGGCGTGTTCCGCTGGCCGCCGCGCCATGCACGTCGTGCGGGCATCATCTCTCTTCCTCCTACTCACCTGCGCGCAGGGCCTCGTCGTGCCGCTTCGCGGCCTCGCCGCGCGCCCCTGCATCCGCCTGCCGCTGCGCCCCTGCATCCGCCAGGGCACGCGGCGTACCCAGCTGCGCGCCGCCAGCGCCGCCGCACCGCCCGCGACGGCCGCCCAGAGCGCGAACGTCGACGCCGCGGCGCCCAAGGTCGTCAGTCGCTGGGGCAAGCTCGCGTCGCTCGTCGGGTCCGACGGTCCCATCATCGTCGCCGCGGGCGTGTCGCTGATCCTCGCGGCGCTGGCGGACGTCGCCGTGCCGCACTTCTCGTCCAAGGCGCTCAACGCCGTCGTCGCCGGCGACGCCGCCCGCGCGAGCCACCAGCTCGCGGGCCTCGGCGCGGCGTGCCTCCTCGGCGCGGCCTTCACGGGCCTCCGCGGCGGCCTGTTCTGGCTCGCGGGCGTGCGCGTGGTCAGCCGTCTACGGGTGCGCATGTTCTCGGCGATGCTCCGCCAGGACCTGGGCTGGTTCGACGAGACGTCGACGGGGTCGCTGAACTCGCGGCTGAGCAGCGACGCGACGCGCGTCGCCGACGTCGTCTCGTTCAACCTAAACATCCTCGCGCGGCAGTCGATCCAGGCCCTCGGCGGCGTCGCGTACCTGTGCTACCTGGACGGGCGCCTCGCCGCGCTGACCGTGGCGTTCATGGGTTTAGCATCCGTCTTCGCGGACGTCTACGGGCGCGCGTCGCGGCGCTTCGCGAAAGATACGCAGGATAGGCTCGCGGCGTCGGCCGCGATCGCCGACGAGTCGCTCCGCAACGTGCGCGTCGCGCGGTCCCTCGCGGCGGAGCCGCGGCTCGCGGAGCGCTACGCGTCCGCCGTCGACGGCGTCACGCGCGTGCAGACGCGCCACGGCCTCTGGTACGGCGTCTCCCGGCTGGCGCTCGGCTCCGCCAAGGGCGCGTCGAGCGTCGCGACGCTGGCCTACGGCGCGCAGCGCGTCGCCGTCGGCGCGATGACGGGCGACCAGCTCGTGACCTTCCTCTTCTACGCGGCCTACGTCTCCAACGCGGCCTTTGACGTGGGCGACCAGTGGGCCAAGGTCGAGGAGGCGCTCGGCGCGGGCGCGGAGGCCTTCAAGCTCGCCTACCGCGCGCCGACGTGGACCGGCGCGGCGCCGCCGAGCTCCCTGGTGGACGACGCGGCGCCGCCGAAGGCCCGCAATCCCGCGCGCGGCGCGGTGGCCTTCGACGACGTGTCGTTCTCTTACCCGGCGCGGCCCGACGAGGCCGTGCTCCGGGGCGTGTCGCTGGCCGTGCGGCCCGGCGAGAAGGTCGCGCTCGTCGGCGAGTCGGGCTCCGGCAAGTCGACGCTCGCGCGCCTCGCTTTGCGCCAGTACGAGGCGTCGTCCGGCGTCGTGTCGCTCGACGGCGACGACGTCCGCGACGTCGCCATGGGCGACCTGTGCGAGCGCGTGGCCTACGTCGAGCAGGAGCCGAGCCTCTTCGGCGGCACCATCGCCGACAACATCCGCTTCGGCCTCGACGCGGCGGACCCGCGCGCGTCCGACGCGGCCGTGCGCGCCGCGGCCGAGGCCGCGGGCGTCGACGAGTTCGCGGACCGCCTGCCCCGGGGCCTCGACACGGAGATCGGCGCCGACGGCGTCTTCCAATCGGGCGGCCAGAAGCAGCGCATCGCCATCGCGCGCGCGCTCGTGCGGGATCCGGCGCTGATCGTTTTAGACGAGCCGTCGTCGGCGCTCGACGCCAAGTCGGAGGCGCTCGTGCAGCGCGCGCTCGACGCGACGACGTGCTCCATGCTCGTCGTGGCCCATCGCCTGGCGACCATCTACGCCGCGGACCGCATCTTCGTGCTCTCCAAGGGCGAGGTCGTCGAGGAGGGCACGCACGTCGACCTCATGGCGCGGAACGGCGAATACGCGTCCATGGTGCGGCGCCAGTCCTTCGAGGAGGCCAAGGAGAACGTCGCCGCCACGCCCGCGGAGTTCGTCTCCGACGACGGCGCGGACGTCCCCGCGGAGGCCCCCCGCGAGGAGGCGACGAACGACCTCGTCGCCGCGCCGCCGCCGCTGACGGAGGCGCGCTAAAGTTGTTTATTTTCCAGCCTGAGTTACTTACTCGCGTAGCCCGCCGCTGGCAGAGGCGCGCTAAGGTTGTTTATTTTACACGCGCAGCTCGGTGAATCCGAGGGCGATCAGCTCCGTTCGACAGTCCGCCGAGTCACCCAAGAAGTGGATCGTCGACAGGCCGAGCTTCGCGGCGGCGTCGCAATTCATTTTGTTGTCGTCCACGAAGACGACCGTGTCGCGGCCGACGTCCGCGCCGAGTTTGGCCAGCGCGTCCTCGAAGGCGCGCGGGTCCGGCTTGCGGAGGCCCGTCTCGCAGGAGACGAAGGACCAGTCGAGGTAGCGGCTGAGTTCGAGCTTTTCTTCGATGTTGCGCCAGTAGGGCCCGTAGTTGCTTAAAGCGTGAACCTCGACGTCGCCGATGCGCTTGATCTCGCCGAGCAGCGAGCGCATGCAGCGCACGTAGTCGTAGTGCTCCTCGAGGAACGCGACGGCGGCGGCGCCGTCGGGCGGCGCGGTGCCGTCCTTGTAGTAGCGCCGCCAGAGCTCGGCCTCGCCGATCGCGCCGGTCTCGAAGGCCTCGTAGGCCTCGCGGTCCGTGCTGCCGTAGAGCGCCTCGAGGCTCTCGAAGCCGAAGACCTCTTTGTGCATGCCCTGGAAGAAGGGGTCGACGACGAGCGTGTCCAGCACGTCGAAGAGGATGATGCGTCGCGGCGCGGCGCTGGCGCTGAGCGCAGGCGCGGCGGTGGCGCTGAGCGCATTCGCGCCGGCAGCGAGGATCAATGCGGCGGCGACGACGAGGCTGCTGCTGCTGCGCATCGATGCGGTGCGTCCTCTTTGCATGTTCTCGGTACTTGCTGCACTGGGCCGCGGGCGCGTGCGATCACTCGAGCATAAGCACGCCGATCTCTCTACTTATTAAAAACCGGATCGTTGATCGCAAGCCCTTGTTGAGTAAAGGTAAAAGTCGTCGAATCCAGCTCTGTGATTGGCTCAGACGACTTTGACCGCCGAGCTGTTGGGAGACGATGGGCAGCCCGAAGCGGCCTGTCTGAGGCCCATGTCGGTCGTTTGGACGAGCCGATGGCATTTTTTGCCCACCCCAAATCATGATGAAGCCGGCGGTGGCGGCCCTCGACCCCTACGCGGGGCGCGCGACCGCGGGCGCGCGAGCACATCGCGCGCGCAGCCCTGACTTTTACCCTAAATTCAACGATCCGGTTTTTAATGGGTAAGGTCGAGGGATGTTTGACTGCTTGCACAATGTCGTTTCGTGCGGCCCCATCGAGTTCGGGCTGCAATGGATTTGAACAGGGAGCAGTCGAGCGCGCGTCCCCTTCAATAACTTGGTCAATTTCGTCTTTGTGCAGCCCCGTCGAGTCTCGGGCCGCAATGGATTTCCCTGCAATGAACGGGGACCGGGAGCTTCGTCTCCTTGCTATCGTGGATCGTGACGATGCGCCGGAGCTCCGCCGTGAGGCTGCCGCCGCTCCGGAGATTTTGCCCGGGTTTTTAGGGGGCGGTGTGACGCTCCTCCACGAGGCGGCTCGGAATAACAAAATTGAATGTTTCCGCGCCTTGATTGAGCTCGGCGCCGACGTGAATGCAGTCACGGCGCACGGCAACACACCGCTGCACATCGCGTGTCTCAACGGACATGCGTCCTGCGCCGATGCGCTGTGCAAGGCTGGGGCCAAGCTCGACGTTCTCGATAGTCACGACCAGAGCCCTTTTTGCGTTGCGGTCGCGGCTGTTATGATAATTAATGTTAGAAAAGCTTCCGGTCGGCGCCGCGTCATCCAGATCTTGCTGCGCGCCGGTGTCCAGCCGCACTTCCCATCCTTTGAAGAGTTTCTTCAAATCCCTCGTTCCGTCGCGTGGATCCTCGCAAAAGCCGTCGAACGCGCGGGCGGCTGGCCGGCGTACGTCCTGAACCACAAGCGCATCCTCGTCGGCCTCGTGACCAAGTGTCGGCCCGTGCCCGCCGACGTCGCGGGGCTGATCGTCGAATTCTGGACGCCGCCCGGCGGCTTCTAAGATGGAAGTACGAAACCCGATGTTAGACCCCCTCGCCGGGCACGACGCGGCCGGGGAAGTTGCGGGGCGTGGCGTTGGGCCGCTTGCGCAGGACGACCTCCTCGTCGAGCGTGTCGTCGATGATGTGGCGCGTGGACGGCGTCTCGCGGTCCGGGAAGACGAGGCCCGAGAGGACGTGGAAGAGCGCGTCCCGGAGCTTGGGGTCCAGCGAGAAGGTGCGCATGGACGCCGGCCCGTCGCCCTTGCGGAGCTTCAGGGAGATGCAGTCGGGCCGCTTCGGCGTCCGGAGCACGTCGTCGACGGCGTCCTTCGGGAGGCGGACCTGCGACCGGTCGCGCCGGAGCCAGATGAGCTCGCCGGCGTCGAGGTTCCAGTGGAGCGCCGTCGCGTGCTTCGACGCGGCCTCGACCCAGGAGTTGGAGCCGAGCTTGTGGCACGTGAGGCCCTCCTTCAGGAGGTGGCGCAGCGTCTCGGTCTGGAGCAGCATCTGCGTCAGATCCGACTCGAAGACGACGCGCTCGAACTGCGCGAGCGTGAGCACGTCGCCGTCGCCGTGGCGCGCGACGAGGTTCGCGACGAGCGACACGACGTCGACGTCGTTTCCGGCGACGAGGTGGCGCACGCGGCCGTCGACGGACTTGGCGCGGCCCTTGCGCAGGTACTCGACGAGCTCGTCGCGCGAGATCTCGTGGTCCGTGTTCCGGTCGATGCCTGTGTGCAAATCAAATCTTCAACCCGACTTCAATGTGCGCGTATTCGAATGTTTCGACACAATCTCTTCGGCTGTGCTCCGAGAACTCGATGAGAGCAATCGATCCGTCTAAAAATCAGCCGAATCGACCTCGATTTGACCGAGCTAGAGAATTTCAAAGTTTGGTCGGGACGTCCCAAACCAGCGGTTGATTCGCACACAGGTCGATGCGCGCGAAGACGTCGTTGACCATGTACTGCTTGACGAGCGTGCGCCGGTGGAAGCCGAGGCCCAGGTGGCCCTCGCCCGAGTTGTACTCGTCGAGCTTCAGCGCGGGCCGGTGCTCGGACCTGTGTGGAAATCAACCAGTGGAACGCCCTGTCCAGCAAAAACTTCAAACCTCTCTATCTCAATCAAATCGAAGTCGTTTTGGCTGATTTTTGGACGAATCGATCGCTCTCGTCGAGTTCTCGAAGCACAGCTGAAAGTCTGGTCCAAACCGTTCGCGAAAATTGAATTCGAGTTGAAGATTTGATTTCCACACGGGCTCGGACGCGCGCGCGACGCGGACGCCCGCCTCGTCGTCGCCGGACTCGTCGCGCGCGCGCGCGCGCCGCCGCAGCTCCGCGTAGGCCCGGAACACGCGCGGCCCGACGTCCGGGAGCCGCAGGCACAGCTGCTTGAACCACTCCGTGAAGTAGACGAAGCTCAGCGCCAACGCCATCAGAAAAAAGGTCCGCGGCTCGAGGTGGAGCTGCGCGTAGGCGCCTAAAACGTTGACCGCGACGAAGGGCCCGGACACGAGGGGCTTGTCCCAGGCCAGCAGCTCCCGGAGCGGGTCGAGGTCGCGCACGGCGCTCGTCAGGTCGTGCTGGTAGGGCGCGAGCGCGGCCTTGCGCCCGGCGAGGTTGATGACCTTCTTCGCGACGCCCTTGAAGACCTTCTTGGGCCCCGGCGCCGGCGCCGGCACCATGGACCGCGGCGGCGCGAGCGACGACCGCCGGACGCTCTTCGCCGGCGGCAGCGCGGCCTTGATGGCCTTTTTGTGGGACGTCGACAGCGCGCCGAGCGACGGGTGCCACTTCGCGAGCGTCCGCGCGACGCGCTCCACCTCCGTGTCCTGGCGCGACGCGCCGTCGCCGTCGTCGTCGGACGACTCCGCGGCCCCGTCCTCGCCCACGACCAGATCGTCGTCGCGCTTCGCGTCGACGCCCAACGCCTTGGCCAGGTCGGGGAAGCGGAAGATGAAGTCCTGGAACTCGACGAGCGTCAGGATCCCGTCGCCGTCGTCGACGGCGGCGAAGGCCCGGGCGACCTCGTCGGCGGACGGCGGCTTGACGTTCATCGACGCCGCGAACGCGGTCACGGCCGCGGAGATCTCGTCGACGTCGAGGCTGCCCGACCGGTCGACGTCGATGCGGTAGAAGATCTCCGCGCAGCGCTCCCGCAGGAGCCGCGCGCGCCGCGCGACGTAGCCGCCGCGCAGCACGCCCGCGGCCAGGCCGACGTGGACCATGGACCGCCAGTAGACGACGAAGTAGCACACCGGCGAGCACGCGGCGACCCAGACTAGCGTCGTCGGCGTGTGCTTCCACTTGACCGCATCCAAGGCCCTCTTCTGGAAGTCGACGAGCGGGTCCGCCCAGTCCTGGAGCGTCATCGCCGCCGCGTACGTCACGTTGACGTCGAACTTCGAGTCGTCGATCAGGGGGCGGTGGCTCCAGATCAAGGACCAGGCGCTCAGGGCCGGCGACACGGCGACGGTGACGCGCATGTGGACCGCCGCCGACGGCGCCTCGAGGCCGTCGCTCACGTCGAGCTGCCACCAGCGCTGGATGCTCCCGCGGCACGCCAGATCGTCCAACGACAGGCGGCAGCGGCCGAGCGCGCCGACGACGTCGTCGCGGATCTCGACGTCGAGCACGCCGCCGCTGCGCCAGAGGTCGAACTCGAAGCGCTCGTTGAACCAGGGGCTCCGGTCGTTCGCCGCCGTCTTCGTCCGCCCGGCGAAGCGCCGCGCCTCGGGCCACGGCACGCCCTTGGGGCTCCAGCCGCGCAGCTTCAGGGACGCGTGGGCGTCGCAGAGGTTGCTCAGGGACGCGCGGCTCGGCAGGCGGCAGGCCTCGATGACGTCGCAGGTCACCCGGCCGATGCTCGCGCCCTCGAGGCGGTTCAGCAGCGTGCCCTTGAGCACCGGCAGGAGGCGCGACGGGTAGTGGCGCGCCGGCTTGCGCTCGTAGAGCGACGACTCCTTCGACGACTCCCGGCCCAGGGCGAAGCCGACCCGCGGCGTGTCCGGCGCCGCATCGGCGGATTTGCCGGGGCTGCCCACCATTGGAACTCTGGAATGGCGCCACGAAGAAGATTTGGAAGAAGTGCAACAACCGCTTTTGTCTATTCTGCGGCAGCCCATTGGATCGTCAAGAATACTCGCGATGGTGGTCGCTGCCCTGCTCGCCGCTGGCCTCGTGGCCTGGGCCGCCTACGAGTACGTGACGAGAAAGTCGCGCGCCGTGCCCTGGCGCGACATCGACCCGGAGATCTTGAAGAGCGGCGCCTCGGCGAAGAAGCTCCAGAAGTTCGCCGAGGCGGGCCCCATCGACTACGTCGTCGTCGGCAGCGGCCTCGGCGGCCTCACCTGCGCGTCCATCCTGGCCCAGGCGGGCTTCCGCGTGCTCGTCCTCGAGCAGCACGACGTCGCCGGCGGCGCGACGCACGCCTTCGAGCTGCACGGCCACGAGTGGGACGTCGGCATCCACTATATCGGCGAACGTCTGACCGCGTGGTGGTCGCCCGTGCGCAAGCTCTTTTCCGTGGCGTCGGGCGGCATGCTCGAGTTCTGCAAGACGGCCGACGACTTCGACTACTGCGTCAACGAGGTCACGGGCCAGAAGGTGCCCGTGTCGTCGGACCCCGCGAAGAAGCTCGAGGCCTTCGCCGCGGCCGCGGGCGGCGACGTAGCGGCGAACCTCGCGGCGCTCAAGAAGTACCGCCGCGCCTGCTTCGTCGCCAAGGCCTCGGCCGCGTCCCTCTTCGTCTTCAAGCTCCTCCCGCGCTGGTGCTACCCGCGAGCCTTGCTCGGCTGGGCCTGGGACTGGTCCGCGAGCCGCGACGCCGTCGACGTCATGAGGAACTGTGGGATGAGCGACGAATTGATCGGCGTCGCGACGTACCTCTACGGCAACTACGGCGAGGGCCCGAAGCGCGCGCCCTTCGTGACCCAGGCGCTCCTCGAGACGCACTTCGACGGCGGCGCGTACTTCCCGCGCGGCGGCTCGCCGTCCATCGCGAAGACCATGGTCAAGGTCCTGAACGACCGCGGCGGCGCGTGCCTCGTGCGCGCGCGCGTCGACGAGATTATCGTCGAAGGCGGCCGGGCCGTCGGCGTGACGTGCAAGGGCGTGCGCCTGGACGCCGCGCGGGGCGTGATTTCGAACGCGGGCTGCGCGAACACCTACGAGAAGCTGCTGCCCGAGGCGTACGCGGCGAAGCCCCTCGCGGCGCTCCGCGCGTCGACGGGCGAGGAGACGAAGGAGGAGCCCAAGCCCGCGGGCTGCGACCCGTCCGTCGCGCTCGTCTACGTCTTCGTCGGCCTCGACGGCTCCGACGAGGAGCTCGAGCTGCCCGCGGCGAATCTCTGGTGCCTCACGCACTCCGTGGAGCGCTTCTCCAAGGACGCGCAGCTGGCGGCCTGCCACACGGAGACGGACGTGGAACGCCTGACCATGGTCGGCCAGGACGCCTTCGCCGTCGGCATCGCCGCCGCCGTCTCCTCCGGCTTCATCACCGCGGGCTACCTCTCCAAGTACGCGCTCCTCAAGGCCGTCGCGGGCTTCCTGACGGCCTGAGCTCCCCTCCACACGGAGACGCGCCCGGGCTTACTTCTGGGGGAGCTCCTTGATCTTGCGGATGAGGGTCATGACGACGGCCGTGTCCGCGGGCGAGAGGCCGAGGCCGTGGGGCTCGTCCTCGCGGAGGTCGCCCTCGGTCATGTGGACGAGCGTGCTGCCGCCGATGTGGCGCCGCACGAAGATCTCGCCGACGTGGGGCAGGTAGAGGTGCTCGGCGACGTAGGCCTTGGCGTCCTCGGGCCGCCACGACAGGGGGTCGAGCGCCGCGAGGTCGACGCAGCCGTCGTCGTCCGGCGGCGCCGCGGGCGCCTCGGCCGCGGGCGCGCCGCCGCCGCCGCCGCCGCCGTCGTCGTCGTCGTCGTCGAAGGACGACCGCCGCGCGGGCGCGAGCGCCGCGGGCGCGGGGATGGGGTTGAGGGGCTTCGGCGCCGGGTTCGGCCCGCGGTCCGCGTGGCTCGGGCTGCGCTGGAGCGATCGGATGCCCCGGAGGCCGCCGACCATCTGGGGCAGGCCCGCCGGCGGCGGCTCGTCGGACGCGAGGCGCGGCCGCGGCGCCGCGGGCGGGCAGCTCGTCGTCGTCACGGGCGGCGGCGCGCGCGCGACGCCCGGCTGCTTGAAGGCCGCGCCGCCGGGCGCGCCGCCGAGCTTCGCCGCGCAGGACGTGCGCAGGTGCTCGTCCATGGCGAAGCGGAGCACCTTCTTCCCGCAGCCGGCCT